ACAAAAATCGAATGTATCAGATACTAAGTTAACATGCCATTCTGATGAACAAAAGACCAAACTAAATAAAAAATCTCAGGTCAGGTCGGGTCGGGTTAATGCTCAACCCGAACCCGACCCAAAATTTTCGGGTTAAAAATTTCTAACCCGAACCTGACCTGACCCGAAATTTCGGGTCGGGTTTTCGGGTTGACCCGACCCGTTCGGAGCACTAGTCCTAATAAAAAATTTTCTTATACTATTTTACTATACTATAGCTCTTAAACCCAAACTCTAATATAACTAAATTTTTTATATAATGTCAAAAAATTACATGACTAAAAAATTGATCCTATGCTCTGTCAATTTTATTTCTTGTCTGGTACTATAAAAAACCTCCAAAAGAAAATTAATATGCTATAGCTTGGGTTTTGTGCAAAAGGCTTCTATTCTTTAAAAATATACTTATATATAGCAGAAAAAAAATAACCAGTACTAAAAAAATCTAGTTTTCAACTATTCAATGAAATATGAAGAGAACCTATTATAGGAAGAAAAAGTAATATTTTGTTAATAATATTTAATAATTCTTGATATAACAAATAATATAAAATTGCTATTTAAAGATAAATTTGCTTAGGCCAATTGGCAACAATAGGTATAATATTTCTACTCCCTATTTATTGTTGTATAGACAAAACACTTGTAATAGTATTGATAGCTTTAATATATATATTGGTAGTATGAAGATTGCTTTTTAGCAAATCTATAAGAATAGTGTTTTTTATAGAATATGTGTTTTATTTTTTTTTCAACCTAGTATTATAATTAGTTCTTCTATTCTTGTATTATTATCTACTATCTGAAAACCTTAATGACAATTATGTAAAAAACTAAAAAAACTTTATAAATTTATTCATCATATAATTTTAATTAGTTTAGTATTGACTAAAAGAAAATTGTAAATATACTATTGTACTTTCTATATACTAAATCGGATATGATCATTTTATACCAAAAAACTGTATAAGATGTTGTTGCTACACTTAAATTGGCAAAAGTATCTATAGAAGAATTAGATGCATCAACAAAATTCAAATATATTGCTATATTACTCTTCATATTATTTACAAACTTGTTTTGAATTCTGCAAAAAAAATAACAAGTAAATAAAAGCTACTTTTTTATTAATATTAGTGATTCTTTACTTTTAGAAAATGGATTAGATAATAAATACAATTCTTTAAAAAACAACTTTAATTTTTTATTTTCTTGTTTCATAGTTGTCTTGAATTTATCAAATAAATATATTGTTGCTTTTTTTTCTTTAACCTCTTACTTGTATAAGATATTCATTAGTAACTTTATTGCTTGAGAAAAAGATAAAGTGAGTTAATATCTTCAACTTCAATTTTAGTATCAACAAAACTAATTTCTTTAAAATACTTTTTGAATTCAATTAAACTGTTTATAGCTATGCTATTATAACAGTTTGAGCAAATTGTATTACATAATTGAAAATAACTTGGTAAAATATAGTTAGATTAGACTTTAAAAAAAAACTTTCAGAACTCTTCTCTATTGAGTTAAAGCTTTTTGGCAAATAGTAATAGTATATAGTTTAGTAAGTTATAGTATAATTTCTCTGAATAAATTTTATTTTTTTGTACAATAAAAATTAATACTTTAGAAGCTAAAAAAACTTGAAAGTAGAATAAAGTACTTTAAACTACAGTTGGTGCTATCTAAATGCATAATACAGAGAGACCTCTCTAAATACACTCTCTATAAGTGCACACTCTCTTTATATGTACCTTCTAGCATGGTCCCAAGCTTAGGACTTAGACTCTAAATGCACCCTCTATATCCTGCATGTGCAAACATATTTTTATCCTTTATATATATAAGATTATTTCTTTAAATGCTCTTCACGTGATTTATAGTATAGGCAACAAAATTGTCACAGTAGATTCTCGATTTTGATTGGCTAACAGCTAAGGATCTTCAAATTTTGGCCCGCATTACATAATTGTTTACTAATTTTCAGCCAGAATTAACTTTTTGACTTTTTATTACAAAAATAGAGATTTTTATAAAATAAGCCCACATTATGGTAAAATTAGCCCAGGAACAATTTTCACTTAATATGTGGCTGTGATTTTATTAGTAAAATTATGAGTATTCCGGCCTACTTTTTTGATCGTTGCTCTTAGCCAATCAAAATCGAGAATCTGCCATACTATTTTGTTGTGGCAGCTAGGGTTAATGCAATATTTTTTTTTGTAAAGCAAAACGTAAGTTGGAAACTATGATTAAAAGCCCATGATATCACAAAAAAGATTAGTAAGCGTGCCCACATTTGATCGATGCATGTAATCATATTCGAATCAAGATTGTATGAAATATTGAGTTTCTAATATGTAAAGTATTGTAATAAAAACTAGTAGTGCAGATTTATGCATAGATTGGCAAAATTGTTAAATTTACTAGTGAAGAATAGTGTTAAAAATCGATTCATCTCATGTACCAACTGTTTTTTCTAGCAATTTATCTATAAAAATTTTAATCTGTAACTTTGCTTAATTATGTTAAACTAATCGTTTGATGTACAAATTGCTAAAGAACAGTTGGTATGTAAGATGAATCGATCTTTTGAACACTAGTCTTCGCTAGTAAATTTAATGATTTTGCCGATCTATGTATAAATCTGTGTTATTAGTTTTTTATTACTATACCTTATATAGATTTGATTAATTAGTATATTGACAGCCCCAATAAAACATATATAATCGGCCCAACAAACAAACAATCAAGTGATAAGTTCATATAACCAAAATGAGAATAGTGTACAAATACAAGCCAAGGTTTTAAAATGGCAAAATTGAGCGATTATGTTTGTTGAAGGTGCAGGAAAATAAGTAATTATAAGGCGGAAAGATCTAAAATAGAATAAATTAAAGTAAAACACAACTACTAGAATCTGAGAATGTTTGATGTAAGGAAATTAGTAGAAAAATTTAAATAAAAGTTCAAAAATAGAATAATTATACAGACGCTATAAATTGTATAAAAGTAATAGCTAAATTATTAATAAAGACTTATTTTTTATGTACAAAATAATATCTTTTACTCACCCAAATCATCTCCACACCTCTTTAATAATGTTGTAAAGTGGTAGTGTGGGTAAGAGTGAAGTTGTTAACCTGCAATATAGTATAAAAAAAAATAATAATAAAGAATAAATACTCTTATCCTTTACAAAGAATATCTCTGTTTCAGCTAAATTACACCATTATAACTATACTATAGATTCTCAAGATAAATTATAGTCTGAATTAAGTTTAATTACTCAAAGTAATGTCCATATCCAAGTTATAGTAATAAGGCGATTTGATAGAGCATGCATACTTTAAAAAAAATATATTATCGGGACACTATCAGGAATAAAAGTTTCATATAATAATAAAAACTGAATCTGCTTTTGTTATAAGAAACAGATCCACTTAAACTTGATCAAACTCAAATATGTTGGTTTAAGATGCCGATGTATGTTATTTTGAAACCATGTTATCATTTTCAAGGAGTTCAACTTTTAAAATAACTTATCTAATTTTTTTTAATAAATAGACCTTAAAGGATTATATTTTTTTAAAAATTCTTAAATTCAATCATCAAAATAAATTATATAACTATCTCATACCTGAAAATAAAGTTTGATAACTATTAACCACCAATTAACCTACGGTATTATGTCTTCTAAACAAAAGAATACTCTTAGTGATGCCCAAAAGCATGAGCTTTGTTTTTATGCCCACGATAATAAATTAACTCATGCAAAATATATCGTTTGGATTGAAGAAAAGTGGAGTATTAGAGTGTATAAATCTACTATTACCCAAATTTTACAAACTAAAGATAAACGGCTTACCACTGAAATTGTTAACCCAGAGAAAAAAAGAAATAGAGCCATCACAGTTCCAGCCTTGAGCTTGCTCTTAAGAAATTTGTATTAACCTACCAGCATAAAACGATTTTAAGTGATGCAATATTAATTGAAAAAGCAAGATTACTTGCTAGTGGGTTGGGAGTTCCTAAAAGTACTTTGAATTTTTCCTCTGGCTAGCTTCACAAATTTAAAGAATGTAATGGCATTTACAAAGAAAAGCTTCATGGAGAAGCAGCATCTGCTGACATTATAGCTATTACCCAGTCTCTTTCTTTATTGCAAGACAAATCTGCTAATTATTCTTCTGACTGAATATATAACATAGACGAAACTGCTTTATTTTATTAGTTAGAACTGGATCACTCACTAGCCACACAGCATCTTTCTGAACGTAAAAAAAATAAAGAATGCATTACTGTTGCTTTGTGTGCGAATTCTGATAGCTTACACAAACTAAAGCCTCTAGTTATTGGAAAGTATGCGCGACCACCAGTGTTAGAGATCTAATGTTCTCAGTGTTCTCAAGAACATTAAAATATTTTTGAGAACACAATTTTTGAAAATTATGTTCTCATTTGAGAACATAAAATTTGTAAATTGTATTATATCTAAAAACTTTTGAGAACATTAAAAATCTTTCTGAGAACCTAAAATTTAAATTTTATGTTCTCAGAGAACAAAAAAAAGATTTCAGATCTCTAACACTGGCGACCACAATGCTTCAAGAATATTAGAATTTCCAATATGCAAATAACCTACCCGAGTAATACTAAGGCCTGAATGTTAACAAGTCTTTTTCAAGAATGGCTTCGAGACTTTGATCAAGAAATCTTAAAAAAGCACAAAGGCAGATCAGTGTTATTGTTTCTTGATAATTGCTCAAGTCACAAAACTGATGGTTTATTTCTTCAAAATGTAGAAATATGTTTCTTGTCTAAAAATACAACTTCAAAGATTCAGCCAATGGATGCAAGAATTATCATGTCCTTCAAAAGAAATTATTATCATCATCATATTCAATGGATGCTTGATGAAATTGAAAGTGGCAAAAATATACAAGATTTAAAGATAGATATTTTACAAGGCATTAAATATATTATTCAAGGCTGGAATGAAGTTACAAAAAGCACAATTAAAAACTGCTAGTGTCATACTAAACTTATTCCTTTTCGGGATAATCATGCAGATATAGATAAGAATGAAAAAGAATCACTTGAAGAGCCATTGCTTGAAGAACTTTCTAAAAATATTGAAGATCTCAATTTTTCTGACCCAATGCAAGTAGAAGAGTATCTAAGTATTCCTAATGAAAATATCGTCTACGAAGTTCCTGATGATAATTAAATTATTTCAGATCTTAGAGAAACATTTAGAGAGAGACCTGATGAAATAGAAAATGAGGATCTAGAAGAGGCAGATGATAGAGTCGAAAAAGAAATTATAAAACCAAGAGAAGCCTTTAAAAGTTTAGATAATATACGCACCTTTTTACTTCAGCAAGAAGATGCGAATAAATATATAAAGCTAGTTAATATAATTAAAAAATTTATCACTACTAGAAAAAATAATTCGATGACATAATCTAAAATAGACAAATATTTTAATATTAATGTTGATGAAACAGAAAAGTTACAATCGCTGGATGATCTGGATAATTTGATGTTTTAGTTTTGTATTACAAGTATATATAATATATACATGTACATTGTACATACTAATATTCTGTTATACATTTATATTGATATGTATTGGTATTGTCTTTGATACATATAAACTTGAATAAATAAAATATTGCTTTAATTATATAGCGGCATTATATTAATTTACACTTTTGTTAAAATACATCTATAGTATTTTACTACATGCCTATGTTGCATTATCTTAAAAACTAACCAATTAATTAATATGCAAATGTTCTAATAAAAAGGCTCTATGTTCCCAAAAACCCTTTCTAAACCTTAACTTTACCACTAAGTATGAACCCCAACATGAAAAATTTATACTAAAAATTTGTATACAAAATTTATAAAAATCTAGGAAAGTATATAATAATATATAATAGGTATATATAGGTGCCTAAATTGCCCATCTTAATAAAAAAGTAATTACGGCATTTAGGCAGCCGAAATTAGTCTTATATAGTACTGAAATTATTGCGAAATTTTTTGAACTCTTTTAATCAAAATATATCATATAATATAGTTATATCGAAGGGTTTATATAAAAAATTTAGCAATGCCGAAAAGTTTGCCGAAAGTGCGATTTTCAAAAATAATTTAGGCACCCATGTATAATAATAGGTGCAAAATGACCATAAATGCGTTTTATAAAAATATTAATTTATATTAATATCATTTTTTATAAAAACTCATAAATTAGTACAATTCTTTAAATGCATATTTGAGCCTGGTTTTAAAAAAGTGCATTTAGAGAAATCTTTATATAATTCTACAAATGCATACCCTCTGTAAATGCACTCCCAAACCCAGTCCCAAGGGGGTGCGTTTAGAGAGGTCTCTCTGTATCTGTAAAAATATTTTGATATATTTAGACAGTATATGCATTTATACAAAAGCTTGTAATTGCATATTATTTGTGTTATATAAATAACAATCAATAGAAATCTTAGAACTTGCTATAAACAATACTATAAAAATAATATTTTACCCTATAAATTTCAATATTTTGCTTATAATTAATAATTTTCTTTTAAATATTAAATATTTCGGAATTTACTAATTTTAAAAACAAGTATAAGTTTAAAAATTATTTATTATTATAGGCTAAAGTTTAGAATTAGAAAATTAAATAGGATTAGCTAGTGATAAAGTTAGCTTTTTGATAAATATAGATTATTATTATACAAATATAGTATAGCATTGAATGATATATATATTTATTTATCAAATGCAATTTAAAGTTATAAAGTAAAATTATTTAATGTTATACTAGCATTTTTGATTGGTTCATTTTAACTTTTTAAATATTTATTGCCTTTTTTTTTTATATATTATGCAATTAAAAAAATTATGCATTTATTAATAGGAACCAAGTTGGTGGACAAAAATTGTATGCAGTTAGACAGTATATGCATTTAGGTAGTATATATTTAGACAGTGCCAACTGTGTATAAATTGCATATAAATTATACAATTAATCAAATAATAAATTTGATTAGTTAATTATTACAGCAACTTATAGGTAGATTTACAAAAATTAACCAATTAAATAAATATATTTCTATAAGAACCAAGGTAAAATCACTACTCTAAAAAGTTTTAAAAATTATGTAATATTGTTACAGTAATCTATAATGATAATAATATTAATAAAGTATTAATTGATTCAGAAGTGATTTTGTTTCTGCAATCTTTTAAAAACATAAAATCAAATAACACAATATTTTAAAAATATATCTTGTTCATTATAACCAAAATTCTTACTAATAATAAATAAAAAAAAAAATTATAAAAACTAATTAGACAAATACAATTATACCAAAAAATCTTATAGATTTTATTTTAAATACTTTTCAAGAAGACAATAACTAATTACTTATTTAAGCAAAAAGTTTTATAATTCTGAATTCAGAAGGCAACAAAAAATTATTAAAGAAAATATGATTCATTCAAATAATATCAAATAGATTGATAATTAAAATTTTAAGCCATGGTATAAATTAAAAGAGAATCTTTTTTTTTATAATAAATTCAGCAGTCTTGCTTTTACTTTATTAGGCTTTATAATAATTATCTAAACTATTGAAATTTTCTACAGAGTTATACTCTATAGTATCTAAATTACAAGTGAAGACTCACCTTGTTGCTTACTAAGTACCCATGTGCAACCTGCTATAGAGAATCATTTTAAAAGGCAATAGAATATTTCAAATACTTAGAAAAATCGTAATAATAATACTTTGTTTTAATTATTAAAGGTGACTTCTTTGGTCAATATATTTTATTATAGTTAAATTGGGATTAGTAATATTTACAACAATTATAACTATATATATTACTACTAGCCTATAGGACTATCTTGATTATCTTTGAGATAAATCTAACATCATATTACATGTTTTACACATGATAGTGCATACTCATTCAGTAATTACTTTCCCAATTAGTACATGTTGTTTTGCCATTATTGTATTCATATCTCAAGCCACCTTTTGGAGTGCTGCTATAGCACAATCTGTATCTCAAGCACAATATTTTCTAATTACCGTAGGTTTTCAAAAATAAGCTACCCTTTTTTGGCCAAAAAGTTACACAAAAATCATGGGGGTAGCTTATTTTTGGGGGCAATTAAATTTTTATCAATTTTTATTAAGCCACAAGTAGTTGCTATATATAAAAGTCAAAATTTACTAAGTAAATTGACCAAAGTCGCTTAATAGCAACTTTGGTCGATTTACTTAGTAAAATTTCGACCTTTATATGTAGCAACTACTTGCATTAATAGGAGGTAGCTTATTTCCAGAACAAAGGTGTTTCTTATATTTTCTCTTTAAGAGAAAAGGGGTAGCTTCTTTTGAAGGTAGCTTATTTTCAGAAACATATGTTAGCTTTTTTATTGCATACTCTACCCTTTATAAGATTCACAGACCCCAGTACCCTATTCTATTACTTTTTGCACTTTACTTTATTTGGTTTCATTGGTCTTCCAAACCAGATGACCCAGAAGGACTAGTCTGCCCAGACCCAAGTTTCCCAGGCTTAGGTCTGAAGGTTGTCTGATCCTTGGACCACATTTTTATAGCATGTGTTCTTTCCTCCAGGGTCTCATTCTAGGATCTTATCTCTAGTTATACTACTGAAATAGCCAAGGAATATACAACTAAGGTGGCTCTAGTGACCTCGGCAGTCTGGTTGGTGGATTCCTTTTACTATAAGATCTTGTTACCCAAATTCTCCAAATGTTTGGATCTAGTCGAATCAGTCCTGTGGTACTAGTAGCACCAGTTAGTCATAAATCTGCTACTTCCTTATTCAGGATTTGCCAAGCTGGTTTCGGTTCTCTCAGACTACTATGTGTAGATCTTTAATATATGTCAATTCTGGAAGGCTTATTATGAATTTGCACTGCCTATACCAGTTTGCATTTCTTTGTGCAATGACACAAATGCTTCTACATCTTCTAGCACCAACTTAGGCATTGGTGTATCCTAGTTTACAGGTATAAAACCCAGCCCAATTTAGAATAAGCTGTTACTATAACACAAGTAAATTATTCGAAACGTTGCTAGTGGAATTCGAACTTAGTACTATAGCCAACAAACTTGGAGTTGCAACAACTCTACCACTTCACTACATTACCATACTCTAATAATAATACTTTGTAACTATAATAATTTTTACATTTATTAAGTTTATTTAAAATAATAAAATGATTAATTTATTGCTTATTATTATTATTATTTTGTCTATAAATTTTTTGTTTAATCAAGTTAAATAACTTTTTGGTACTCAATATATTTATTATATGATAATTAAAACCTTTTAGATAGTGATTTTACTCTGGTTGAATTCTTGAACTACTAAACTATTTTTTCTAACAATATATTATTTACCAATCTATTTGATTATTCAAAAAAATAAATAAAGTTTATAGCTTACTATAAATTTATCCAATAACTGAAAAAAATTATTATTTAATAAACTTATCAATACTTGATATGCAAAAAAAATTATATATGAAAAATTTATAAAATATTTATAAATCTATAATAACATATTATTTTTGTACAAATATAATTCAATTTATTCACAAAAATTAATCAATACACTAAAATTATATACTTCTTACTATATTATATAGTATTTATTATTAATCAAATTATTTATTAATCAATTTTTTATACCTTATAAAATAACTATATTTTTTTTTTACTTTGATAACCTCACACAAATTTATTGAGTTACTTAAACTTGGCACAAGTTTTACATCCAATATATATATTTGGCAGTACCCAGCTGCTTGAAAAGTGCTCAAGTATGATTATTTTATTGGTATTTGCTAACAGAACCCACATATAGTACTACTTGTATTTAAAGAACTACTTTAGCATAGCCTCAGCTACCATATTAGAACTATATCTATTTTCTTCTAATTTTTTCTTTTTTCTTGAGACAGCCAATGGCTTAAAGTAAGTAGGAAATTTTTAAACAAAACAAATAAGAAAATAACCAAAAAAATAAAAAAAATAAAAATAAAAAGAAATAAACAAATTTCTAATAACACCAATAATGCTTTAAAAAATTATATACTATATATAAAGCTGATCTAGTTTTAACCTATAATATACTAATTGAAACAGAAAAAACAAAAAAATAAAACAAATTCTAATAGCACTATTATTGCTTGTACAAGGTCTAAAAAATTATATACTATATATAAAATTAATATAATCTAGCTTTATCTATAATATAAATAATCTTAAAATAGTTCAAAAACTTTTTACCACAAACCCAACTAATCAATATTTGTTTATTTCTATACTTTAAGCCAGATTTCATAGACTACTCGTGACTATTTTGTGATTTTCTTTCTGATTTAGTTGTGGTACACAATGCAGATCA